AACTAGTTTGGCACATAAACAAAAATCGCAACAAAAAAATTTAAGAAAATATAGTTTACACACATTCACGCACACTCAAAATTAAAATATAATATTTCAATTTACTTCTTTTCTTTCTGTTGACGTTTTTTTCTGATCGAGGCTTAAACCGACGCTCTTTCGAGGATTGAAGCTCTCTTCGAAGAGCGCATGCGAGGACAAGGATTAGAGGAGAGGAGACGTCCTCGCGCGAACAGAACCAAAATCCAACTGCGGCCGAATCCCACGGACGCAGCGACGTCACCACGACGACAACGGCGGCAGAGCCGCCAATGCAGTTTACTCGCTACAGGCGCGGTCAAAATAATAATGACGAAGTAGTAAATTAGGTAAATTTTGAAAAATGTTGCTTACGTGGAAAAATTCTGTTACTTTTTTAAAGACTATAAATCGATTAATTTATAAAACATGTAAAGCGTAAGCTTCCACAAATTTGTCCAATGCTGTGCGCTTTAGTGTGTGCGAGAACGGAGTGCTGAAGGAAATGAGTAAAAACTGCCAGCTGAAATAGCAGCAAAAGCAGCCGCAACAACAAGAAGTTAGTGCAGTAGAGTTGTAGTTGAAGTTGGAGCTTGAATTGGAGTTTGGAGTTCCAATCAGACGAAAAGCAACTAGCGACGCGCGCGCTCTTCTCCGCTCTCTCTTTCATTATCTCTCTCTCATTTACTCTCTCCTTAACATTACGTATACGCCAAATAACGTAAAACTTAAACCGGCATTTTTTAGGCTCACGTTTCGGTTTTGCAAAGGTGGGATCTAAACGGGGTGGAGGACAAGGCAGAAATGGCTAAAAAAAACAGGTGCGGATTGACGAAGTGTCTTTTAAAAGAATCTTTTAAGTGCTAAGCCCAAATAAATAGGCTACAAAATTTTATTAAAAGAATAAACACTGAAGGCAATTATTTTTTTTTAAAGGTTACAATAAAATCAAGTGTGCATTTTGAGGGAAACGGTAAGACTTGTGTAAATCATATGTTAACCAACCTTTAAACGTTATTCTCTGCAAGCTGAATACGCTCCTGTAACTTAAACATGTTCGAGCGTACAGCAGCCACTGCAACAACAGCAACCCCATCGCCGCAGGAGAGAGGAAAGTGCATCGGTGTGTGTGTGTGTAGGTGGGTGAGCGTTACTGTGTGAGTGAGCTGCAGCTGGCAGCAAGCTTCCTACTTTATTACTGGTTTTCAACTGAATAAGATATGTGGAGCGCTTGATTTACTCTCAACAAGGATTCGCAAGGGTTTTGGAAGAGTAGAGAGAGCGACTTTCTTCGCCAGCTGTTTCGACGAGTTCCTCCTGATGGCTTTTTTTTGCCGCGCATTCGCCGGCTGGGATCTCTTAAGCTCTCTCCCTGCTTCTGCCTATTTCTTTTCTCTTTCTCGGCCCCTCTTTCAGCAGCTGTTGCTCCTTTAAGCGCCAGCGTGCCTGAATGCACGGAAAATAATTGTGTGAAGTAAAAATATTTTTTACTCATTTTTTGTTTAACCAAATCAAGATCAAAATCAAAATACAAAAATTATTCAACAAATTATTATCAAGTCTTTTGGATAATTTGTATGTTGCCTAGTTTAAATAAAACCCGTTAAGAAGTATGTAATATAAAAACTTCTTTCAGTGTGTCAACGGATTGCAGTGTGTGCTGTGTCTTGTACTTTATTGCAATTTCTTATTAATAAGCGCCTTTTATGTGGAGCCGGGCGTTAGTGCCGTCCCAGGGGCGACATTAACGTTAATAATAATAAAATGTGTAATTGCATACAAGGAAGAAGAGGAGTTGGCCAAGAACAAGAAGAAGAGGAAGAAGTGCAGTGCAGCTTCTTCTAACCAGTTTCACAGACGTCGCAAGGCCCCATCTTTTTTCCCCCGACTCTTTTGGCCAGAGGTGTAAATCATTTTCTAATCGCAGCCAGCAGATCACATGCACACGCATCAACGAGCCAACACACGAACGCAGATACTCTGGTCACACACAGACACTTTCGGCTCACACAAATAGCCACTCACACTCACACAGCCACAATGTTGGACACTCGAGTGGACTTGACTTTTGTTTTTGGCACTGCATTTACTTTATGTTTACGTTGTGGGGGTAAAAGTTTCCAGCTTTTTGGTTTCCAGCATGAAGACAATATTGTTGCTCTCGAGTGGGTGGAAAAGGGTGGTAATGGAGGTGGCAAGGGGGTTTGGCTGAACTGCAGCCAAAAGTCGAATGCAATCAAAGCTCGAGCGGAAACAGAAGCTCTTGCCAGGCTATCGTCGTCACCAGAGATGCAAAAGTGGTTTAAATATAGTGGTTAAATCAAAGCAATCTTAAAAAAAAGGTTGACCTTTGCACCAACAAATATTTTATTAAGAAAGACTTACGTAAAACTTTCAATAAATGTTATCATCGCAATTTGGCAAGTTTTAATTGTTCTAATTAGTATATTTTTGTATTTAACGGATTTAAAATTATATAATAGTATAGTATGGTATAATAGCTATAAAAATAATTCTTACAACCCCGTACGGTTTTCCTCTAAAAACCATAAACTTTATTGCAAAGATTTGTGAGCACTGCGCCCGAACGATTTCGTTCAATAAATTAATTGAATGTTTTGTGGCTTGCAGTTGGCATTTCCTAATCGCAGTGGCTTGTAAAAATCCCTAAAATTATGGCAGGATATGTCTTTGTCCTGTATCTGGCTGGAAAAACTTTGGCGTCTGAATAACTTTGTTTGTTGTGTCTTAATATCTGCATTATCCTAGCAATCTTAATTAAGCTGGCTGTCAGAAAACGCCACTCCCACCGCCGTCTGCTCATTTGTTTGCCGACATGTTTCGTGGTGAGTTGGCATTTTTTTTTTAAAGCCAGTACACACTGTACAGAACTTCCGGTTCCGTTGCCTGTGGCACATTGCGTATCCGCGAGCCACATTTTAGCCATTGCCATTGTCCTCGCGTGTTTACTTTATATTAATTGTGTTTGTTTAATTTTAGAACAGATATTACCGAGGAGAACTATTGTAAGTTAGTTTTTACAGCGTAGCTCTTTAACTTTTTCTTTAAGGAATATTAATTTTTTTTTACATTTCCACTTTTCCAGAACGAATCTCCGTTGGAATAACACGCGGACTTCAAATTTTATAGCCAACACCCACTTTTTCCCTCAGCCACTTCTTAATTGTTTAATTAGTTTTTTAACAACTTGGCAATGGCCATCAAGTGAATCAAAGCGATTTCATTAGTTTTAGCACTTTTATGGGCCATTTTAGAAATGCAAATCGAAAATCAAGCACAAAGTGCTCTCAAACGGAATGCGGAAGAGAGTTTGTGTGTGCTCGCTTGTTTGTTCTTTTCCCCCTTTGCACCGTTTTCAAAAAGTAGGCGCAAAGGGGGAGGGCAAAGATTTGAAAATTTATTTTCCTTTTTTAAGAGTTGGCAAACAGCGTTCTCAACTCGCTTATTTCAATTAACTTTGCTAAATTTGTTTATGCATGCGATTGCACTGCCATAAACGACGTAGAAAAAACATTTATGCATAAAGCTTATTGTAAACAAATTCATTGTACAATATAAATGGGTTTTTTTAATATAAAACCATTTAATATTTTAGCACAATTGACTTTATTTTATTTTTAGGTTGTTCTTTATTTTTTTTCTGTGATTCCATGTGTGTGCGCTTATTTATTTGTGGGCGTGTGTGCATTGTCAACAAGCCCGTTAACAGTTAACAGGCACTAATTGTTTTTTGTTTTCTTTGGCTTACTCGCGCTGACTTCTTTTTATTTTTTTTCAGCGCTTTTTTTTTGCTTTATTTTTGTTTATTATTCCCTTTAAATTCCGCACTGGTTTTTAATCCTTGACGGCGGGGTCATAAAGCGATCGTTGCATCTTAATCCTGACCATGGACCCGCCTCCTTTTCACCACTGCAGTGGGGTAAAAAAATACAAACTATGCGGCGGTTTCATTCACAGAAATATGCAAATGGTGTGGGGAAATCGTGCAAATTGAATGCGAGGCTGGAAAAACACACACCCGGCCAAGCCCTCCCCCTTGGGAAAGCGGAAAAGCAGACATTGCTGCGTACTACGCGGCTTACAACTGCAATTACAACTACGGCCACCACCCACGCTCCACCTGTTGGCCTCTCGGAGTCTATCGTGCCTTCTCCCTCTACTTTCACTCCCTCTCTTTCCATCCCGTATCAGTGCTGTAATCATAGCTACTTAAGTATTTTATTTATAATTTTCCAGCGATTTTTAAATACTTATTCTTAAGTGTGCCCTAACCCTTCTCGCTTTGGTTTCTATTGCTCATTAAACTTTATAAATTATATATCAATTATATTATAAGTTCCTGTATAAATATATTATATATTATAATACTAATATTTTAAGTGGCATGCAAGCAAGTTAATTGTTTTAAACAAACACTTCGTAAAAGCAAAAGTTATCTACGGAAATAATCTTAAACTTATTAAAAGTACCCCCCAACCCTTTTTACCATCCATTACACACTTGAACCCTAAGGCAAATTAAGAACGTTTTTAGCCATTTAAAGGGCTTTCTCCGTTCTCCGACAACTTTCGGTAGTCAATAGTGAGCAACACTACAGGGAATTAACAATGAGCCAGCAACGATGTTAACTGAAAAATGCTTTTCGCCTTTGCTGAGCTGTGGCTGAATGCCGGGGATTTGGATGTGGGTACGGGAATGGGTTTTGGGTATGGGCTTGGGTTCGGGTTCGGGTTCGGGTTTCGGGTGGCTGGGAGCCACAGATGCAGATGGATCCTGAAGATGGGCGGTTTTGGGGTGGGTGGTTCGGTGGGTTCGGTGGTTAGTCGGTGCAGTGAACCCGCCGCGCCGCTAAGTATGCAGCACAGGACTAAAGTTTAATTGGGAGCGAAATCCATCAAAACATTCCAGCGGCAGTCGAAAGTATTTCACGAGCGGTTATTTCTTTATTGCTGGTGCCCATACATGTTGGTGATACAATATATATATTGGAAAAAAAAATAGAGCTACAAGTTATGTGTATTCACTTTCCGCAGCGGCTGGTGCAAGAAAAGCTGATTTCTTCCTTTAAGGTTTATGTTCTTCTCCTTTTTTTTGGGTTTTTTTTTATTATATATATATCCTTTTATTCTTCTTTAATTTTAGGGCATATATTGCGAGTGATCGTAAGCTGTCCAAGAATTTTTTGAAATGTATCCATGGTCGCTCAAACCCTTTGGTTTTTTATAGAAGTTCTTTGTGTGGATTGAATAGTCCTGGAAAGAAATGTTGTTTAACCACTGTTATCCAGCAATGATAAAATCAAACCTTTTCCTGCTTTCTATGATGGATATGTATGGGATTCTGTTTTACGTTTTCCGGCGCAGGATTCACCTTGAGAACCCCCGAAGTGGGTATATTACTTGGTCTCGAATGAGAACGCCAACCCAATTTTAAATCTATTTGCGGCGGTGGTTCCCGTCGGATTCGCTCTTCGATTTCATAAAGCTCTTGCTAAAATATTATTTATATTAAAAGCAAACACACTTGTACAAAATCTGCAATGACAAACCCGATTTTTATAGACCATGCAGCAGGCTCGCAATGTGAAATAATAGATGATCTCCACGCCGGAAAGCAGGGAGAAGCCAAGAAAAAGACTGGCAATTCCGCCGAAGGACACCAGCAGATCAACCCATCCGAAAAGGACCTCACGTTTGTAGCGGATAATCGGCCAGGTGAGGAACTCCACCAACACACCGGTGCTCTCTGGTCGATCGGATCTGAAAGTTGGCAGGATATTTACTATTCGTTTAATATTCGTTTAAATCAACTCACACTTTGATGAGTTTGTCGATGTTGAAGACGGTTTTCGAGCAGCTGAGTTCGCACTGCAGGCAATCCTTGATGTTTGTGATGTTTGCCTTGAACTCATCGAGGCAATCGAAGTCCTTGACCGAACACATAGGCACATTAGCTGCAGGCATCGGAGATAATTAAAGTGTAAAATGTACAATATATATATAATATATAATATATATAATATACAATATAGAATATACTTGTACCTATGGGCTTGTAGAAGGGCGGATTGCATTTGCAGAGCTTGATGGCCTTGTTCATGCGGCACTGCTTCATGCAGGAGGAGAAGGTGTACGCATCCGGGAAGTAGCTGAGCTTCACCTCGTCGCTGAAGATGCACTTCCTCTGGCCAATGGACAACTGGCGGGCGTCGTCCGTGGTGTAGGTGTTCTTCTTCGAGATCCTCACCTCCACCAGCTGGGTCTCCGCCCAGTCAACTTGTGCATTGAAGTCCGAGCCAAAGTATTCCTCATTTGAAAAGATGAAGATCTGCGGAAGGTATTGTAAACATACTCGTAGATGATAATACAATGAATTAAGGCATTGATATTTACCTTAGAAGTGCTGTTGGGCACAAAGAAAAGTGCCCACTTCTTGTCGGTTTCGTAGAGATCATGAGGTGGTCCCGTCTTGACGCTTTATAAATGTATACCATTATACCATATTTGAATATGTTCTCTATTAAAATCAGATCAAAACTTACTCCTCTGTTGGCGTGGACTGGAAACGGCTGTTGAAGGCGTAGCAAAATCCGTGTTCCGTGTAAATGGGCTGGAAGTGATCGCAGCAGGTTATATCCTCATCGCGATACTTGCAGGACACGAAGGTGTTCTCGCAGCTGATGTGTCCTTCGAAGGCCCATTGCCGAATGGTGTTCGCATCGAGTCGGTCCTGTGGGATCGACTGGGACAGGATCTTCGCATCTCGAATGCTGTCGAAGCTCAAAGAGGTTAAAAGTCTCAGGAAAGGTGAATACATTTGAGCCTGAGCTTCGTCCGAGTTTCTAGTTAGTTATAATAATGGTTACAATTAAATAAGGAATACTATATATCTATGCACTTGAAACTTTCGAAGGACTTACGCAAGTGTCTCGAAAACCGCCTTGTAGGACTTGTCGTGATCGAAGGCCGCCTCCGGACAGACGACGGTGGTTGGGAAGACCACGTTCTGATTGTGGAAGTCCGTGTCCAGGCCCGTGATGGTCGGATTGGTCTGGAACTTCTCCCAAAGGCTCATTATAATCACCAGAGCGGTTACCGCTCCAATCGACGTGAAACAGAACCACATGAACTTTTCACCAATCGGCCGACCCGTTTCCGCAATGTAACGAACTCCGTGGAGCGTCGAGTTCTGGAAGAACTCCTTCGTCTGGTAGATAAGACTCCGCCGGAAGATGACCAACGTTTCGAGGCCGCGTTGCCTTCTCGTCTCCGGATGGCGTTTCTCTTGCGGCATTTTCGTTTCAGGAACATCGCTCGCCACCGCGGCTCGAAAATCCAAATTAAAATCGGTGCCCTGGCATCCGATCCAAAGTCAACAAATCGACTAAAACTGGACATTACCCAAATAGGTACACCCGAAAACCCAATCGATGCGTGGGTCATTAGTGGACCTTCGTGCGTTTCCATTTGCAGGTCCTAAAAGCCTTTCATTGTTATGGAAATGCCGCTTGCATGACTCTGATTGTAACTCGAATTGGGGCAGTTAACTTGGCCAATCTAGATCGCAATACCCTCAACTTTGGCTTTTACAAACAAATAATACTTTCCAGGATAAAAAAAACTATACTAAAAGAGGTGTGTTAAATAGGCAAGTTTTAGTAGGTAACCTTAGAATGAAACGTAGAATGAAATACACAATTTGAAATTTCTAATTAACAAAGATATAAATAATATTATATGTGTGTAACTTTAAGAGTTTGGTTCGACTTCTATTTGTTTAGTTTTTTTTTTTAGAGTATCTATTAAACCAAGTTTCATAACGTGTGTAGCCTTCTCAAACAAAATGTAATGAAGGTGACTAAATTTAGGGCAGAGTTTTTGGGAAATTTTCTGAATGCAGCTGCCTTGGATGGATGGATGGATGGATGGTTGGATGGATTGATGGCTGGATAAATGGCTGCTTAATTGGTCGAGGCTGTCTGAACAGCTTCCGGCGCCGCCTTGCATTCCAAAAAAAATCGCATATCCCTATGTTGGAATGGCCACTCCACTCGACGCCACTCCAACTTCACTCCAAGGATCGGAGGAACTTCACAAGTTTTGTGTGAACTTCTGACACGGCCCAGCCGAGTCTCTCTTTGTTCGCTCTTTCGCCCTCTCTGTCTCTCTCTCTCTCTCTCTCTCTCTCTCTCTCTCTCTTTTCCCTTATTTTATTTCATTTGATTTTATTTCAGTTTTTTGCTGTTTTGTTTTTTGTTTTTTATTTATCGTTAAGTGTTCTCAAGTTTCACAACGAGTCCAGAAATGGGTTTTGGATTTTCGGGGTTCTGGGACTTTACTTTGGGTCTTGCCTGTTGTGGCTGTTGTGAACAAAAGAACTGCTGGAACGAGTTGACCCTGATGGCGGTGGTCAGATAATCGGGGCCACTGGCGCCAGTCGTTGGATGGAATCCCTTTTACCCCGCTTTTTGCTCCGCCTAAGCCCCACAAACTCTGGACATTGCATAAATTAAATGAGTTATTATCGTGTTTTAAGGCTAAGAAATATAGCATAGAAGTATCTTTATATAAAGTTTAATTTGCCAGTACTTTCTAGATGATTTTTAACTTTTTTTTTATAGAGAACGAAGTATTCATCTTGGGTCAAGGGAAATCCTAAATAAATCCCACATAAATTATTCAGTTAAAAGGATGCACCTGTGCTGAGTGAGAATACTAGAAGGTATCTATAGGATACTAGGCTGGCAATCGCGACCTACTTCTGGGCCAAAAGCGAAACCCCCCGAAATGCCCCGTGAATCCCGCACTACCAAATCCCGCCCCATTGCCTCTCAATTTGTTTCGCTTTTCGTATTTCGTATTTCTCCCCTGGGTTCGGTTCGGTTCGGTTTCTTATCAGCGATCATTTGTCAAAGGCCTGCCATTGAAAAGTTGCCCGACCGCTGAGCGGCAACGGCAATTGCAACAAATTTGTTCGCCGCTCCTTGGGACCCGCTGCCCCGACCACATGCCACATGCCCCACGCCTCGGCACCCCCACCCTCGGCTGCTCCAGTTGACAAAAGAAGAGGAGCAGAAAGTGTAAGACCAAACCCCTTCGACTTCGAAGCCAAGTGACGACCCAAAGATACTCTCATTATGCTGCAAGTTTTTAGTTGGTTAATCATACGACGATTTAGTTAATGGATATGTTGTATATTATATTATTCTATTTTCTTTATAAACATACGCGTGTAAAATATGATACTTTTTAGTCTTTGTTTCAAACCATCAGCACTTGTAAATGTTGTTCAAAATGATCTGAACAGAATTTTCCAAATGACAATATCATCGCGCACCTGTTGTCAACGGTTGTGATCAAAAGTCGGATATACCCAGTGTAATCCAAGATCTTGGAACGCCAAGAACCGAGTGCTGCCATCGTCGGGAGCACTCTCATAAATAAGAAATTGAGAGTAAACGAGACCTGGAGGGGATCCCCTTAAGCAGGGCCAGAATCTATGGGCATACTGGATTCGATAAGCATTTTGTTGCTTTCCCTTCTTTGACTTTATTTATATGTATTTTTCTTTTTTTTTTAGCTGGCGTTTTTTTCGTGGCCAAGTGGTTTCGGTTTCTCGTTTTGCATTGCATCGGGCACCAAAGATCGATCGATGGCGAAGAATGTTCTTTTGAGCCGCGATCTTACCCTGCGTCCGGGTGTCCACTTCACTGTCCGTCCTTTTATGTGATTAATGGTAATTGCTTTTATGGCTTTCTACGGCGCTGCTATGCCACAATTTGTTGCGGTAATTTCGCTTTTAGTCGCTGTCGCAGTTGCAGATAGCCCCACTCCAAAGTGAATTTGGAAAGTATTTAGAAAAGCACTCGGCTTCTACAGTAACTAAATAATAAGTCTTAAAAATATGTAGTTCGAAAATCCTCACTTAAACGTATTTGTGTTTCTGCAGAGTGAAACACTAGATTTTTATGAAAAATTCCAATAAAACCAAAAAACAAATTTAAATTTTGTATTAACTTAATATCATTTAATATCAAATAGAAATTTTCAAAAATGCCGTTTTCACAATTTTTCCATATCAAATTTAAATGCTGGTATCTGGCCAAAAATTATGTTTAAAATCATCAGAGTGATCATCACATTAAATTCTTCTTTTTTTTCTTCAACGAACGGGATTAAATTAGTAGCAAAAGTTTCGAGTTTTATTCCATTTTTTATCGTGATTTTCATAATTTCAAATATAAAAAAAAAATTACTAATTAACAAAGGGCATGTTTAAGGATTAAGTATGCTGGCGGACCCGCGCTCATCAGTCGCTGCTACCCTGATCGGTCTCCGGTCCGCTTCCGTTTTCGCTATTCGCACAGAGCGGCGAGTCCAGCTCGTTGTAGGCCTGTTGATCCCGATATTTGCTGAACAAGCCGCGCACCTTGTTCAGCGGTGTTTGGAACGTCTGGGCCGCCGCCGAAAGTGCCGCAAAACCCAATGAAGTACCGCCGCTGCTGCCGACGCCGCCAACGCTTCCGGCACTGCCGCTGCCGCTGCCGCCGCCGCCGCCTCCCGATTCTCCATTCACCACGTTGGTTGTCACTTGAATTCTGGCTGCCGACGGAGTGCGCGGCAAGCGCGGCGGCATCGGTGGCGTTGATGGGCCGGAGCCCCGCCTTCTGCCGACCACGGCATTCAGCTTGGGCGTGGCAAGGAGCCGCTTGGAATGATTGTTGTGGCTACCGCTGAAGTCGGAAAGCCAGAAATCCGATTTTTGCATCTTAACATTCTTCGGCGAGGGGAAGCTGTATAATTGGTGAAACAAAATATATAATTTAAATCAGTTCTAAAATCCGGTTGGGCTAGGCTTTCTCACAGATTCAGTTCAGCACTGGAGAAGCCCTCCATGGCAGTCTTCCAGGCGTGGACATGCGGGTACGTCTCCTTCTCCACGTCCACATCCAAAAGGGCATCCAGCACATCCCGATCGCGTTTCGTTGGCTCATTTCTACGGTTATCATAATGGTATAAACATTTAAAAAGGCATATAGGGATAAGGGTTCTATGTTTATATATATATCCCACCCAAATATAAACAACTCGTAGCGTGGCTCCACGCTGACGGACGTGCGTGGTGATAAACTTTCTGGCGGCGTACGGAATTGCTCCTCATCCTCGCTGCTGCTTCCATAAGTCGGCGAAACCTCAGAGCAATCAAACTAAAACGAAACCACAATTAGTATATTGATTAATTCATTGATAGTTCTATGCTAGCAATAAGACTTACGAAATTGGCTTCCTCGTCGCTCTCGTCGTCTTCATCATCGCTTTGCTGGCGATCGCGCCAGGAATTTGTAGATATCGGCGCCACAATGGCCACCTTTGGCGCTCCCAGGCTCAGCGAGACGTGCAGGGCATTGGATCCGGTGGATCCTTCGGCATCCTGCAGCTGATGTGCCACCGGTTGCGATATCAACTGGGCCTGGGCAACGGCGGCTGCCAACAGCGACTTGGTGCGCTTGCGCTGGCTCGTCTTGCGACTGAGATTCGCGTCCCACAGACAGGCGCAACTCTGCTCCGTTTCCCAGGCGGCGGAGCACAGCTCCTCGGTCTTCAGCGTGTCCGGCAAATGTACAGCGGTGGTTGGTGCCTGTTCCAGCATCACCAGCAGGCTGCCGCACACACAGCCCAAGTACTGCTCCTTGCCGCGCTCGTCGGCCAGCAGTTGGCGCAAAGTTCGGAGCATCTGCAGCAGTTGCAGGCGCATGGCGACGCTCACCTCCTGCGAGTGGGTCACATAGCTGGCCACCAAGTGGGCGATGCGCGAGTGCACCTTGCTAAAGTCCACGCCCATGAAGCGCACATCATCCTGCAAGGTAAAAAAAAATAATAATATAAAAGTAACTACATCGCATATCATATTTTTCAACTCACTTTAAAGCTGACAATCAGCGATTTCAGTCTCTTAAGCTCACAGAGCAGCGTATCGTTTATGGAAACCATGTTGCCGATTTTGTTGATCAGCGTCTTGGTAATTCGCTTGGCAAACACCTGCAGTGACTTCTCCACGCAAGTGTACGGGGTCATGACCCCGGCAGCATGACCAGTTGCTGTCGCCGCAGCAGCATTCCTTCCCTTTCGGAGCTGCTGCTGCTGTTGCTGCTGACCGCCAGCCATCAAATCCAAATACTGATGAAGATTGGAAAAGTTCCACACCGTTTCCAATTTATCCGCCTGCTGCTCGGCCCTCTCCAGTAGATAGGCCTCGAAACGGGCCAGGCCGTCGCTTGTGGAGATGTCCACGTTCGAGTCAATGAAGTCCCAGTACTCGCGCCATTCACATTGCTCCTGGCGCGCCAATTGACGGCCCACCACCTCCAGGCCCTTTTCGATGTCCGAGTTCTTGATGTGACGCTCCTGGAAGCTGTCGTTCAAGGACACATTCAGGCTGCGGCTCAGGCTCAGGTCAAACAGCACGGAGTTGTCGGCCAAGGAGGGCGAATCGATGATGTTGTTGTTCCGATAGGCCATAAATAAATCCGGTTTCATCTGGCGTATGGGTGTGGCGGGGAACTCCAAGTGAGGCTCCGTCTTCACATCGTTGTTGTTGCTCTCGCACTCATTACTGCCGTTCGGTTGGCCCGTCGTCGTTGTTGTCGACCGTTTCGGTGAACTGGTGGCCGGGCTAAAGAGCGCCCTGCGTCCGGAGTGAACCGGACTCGAGTTGCCGACGCTGCGGTTAAAGATCGACTTGCTAGGCGTCACCTTCATCGGCGAGCTAAATGGCGAGCTGCCCAACGGCGATGCATTGTTGCTGACTCGCGGCGGTGTCTTCCAGCGGCGGTAGAAGTTCATCGCCTTCTCACGCGACATGGGTCCAGCCACAGCGCTGATTTTTAAGTCCACACTAAGGCCCTCGCACTCGTCCGTCTTGTGTTGCAGACTCTGGAGAACGGGGATAGCAAATACAAGATCATAATCGGAAATTTCCTTGGACAAATGTTATAAACACAAACTGAGGAGCTTGAAATTCAGAAAGCTCTCTTGTTTTTGTTTATGCCTGATGACAGGCTGTCATCAACGTAAACAAAGACAAACACGTTCAGAGTTCAAAAAGTAATAATAAATAACATTTGAGATTTCCTGGCGGTTGTTTTAATTTCATATAAATGAACATTTTCTTACAAATAATTGCATGTCTACGTTCCGAATGTATTAAGAAATAAAAGAGTTGACTTAGATTTGTGAAGAATTTGTAGGGCTCTTTGTAAATATAGCATAAAGAAATAAACTACTCACCGGCGGATTGGTGGGCGTGAACGGTTGTCCCACTTGCGGAGGCAATGTATTCGAATTGGATCTCAGCACGGGCACAAAGAATGGATTGTTCAGCAGCAACTGCAGCTTCCTGATCGTCACATTGGAGGCCTGCGCATTGCGCAAGCAAATAATCTATAAAGGGTAAAAAAGATGCCATTTAGATACGGGACTTTCCTTGAACTCTAACCAAAACTCACTTCCCTTGGCTCCTTGCCCTCGTGATTCCGCAGAGACTTGCATTCCGGATGGGAAATGAGCAGCTCGACCATGTCGACATGCCCGTTCTTTGCGGCAAAATGAAGCGGCGTCTCGCCACGCGACTTGTCCGGCATATTCAGATAGTAATCCAACAAGCTTTCGTTGAGGGCGGCGCACATGTTGCTGCTGCCCTTCTTGCCAGCATACAGCTGTGTGAACTCGCGATCGGAAATTATTTTCAACAGCAACTGGGCAATCCGTGCCTTGTTCACTTGGGCGCAAATGTGCATGGCATTATAGCGACAGCCCTCCTTCAAACTGGTCGGTGTGTCGCCACTGCTGATCAAATACCTTGGATTCTTCCACACAATCCGCTTGACCTGATCGATGTGCCCACCTTCGATTTGGCGGCGAAACTCGGCCAGTTCCTGTTTGGTGGGCGCCTGGAAAGGCGGACGTTCTCCGGACATTTCCTGTTGCTGCTGTTGCTGTTGCTGATGCAACTGTTGGTGTTGGTGGTGGTGGTGCTGCTGCTGCTGGCGGCCATTGGCAATGATAACGCTGCTGTTGCTCGTCAAAGAAGTGGGCGAGCTGCTCAATAGCAAAGTAGACATCGAGGGACTGCTCCCCAGGGGAATGCTAAAGCCACCGCTCGTCGGTGACGAGGAATACGAATTGTCTGTGGAGCCCGGTGAGCTCTTATAACCACCGCCACTAACCGGAATGGGTTCTGTGCAAAAAAACAGAAAAGAAAAACAATTGTTTTATTTAAAACACTTGTTAGGCAATTATATATGTAGGGTAGGTATTCCCCATATACTCACTACTTTCGGGCTTCGCCTTGCCAAATCTCTTGAGCGCCTCGATGCTCTCGAATCCAAACTGAACGTAGCTCTCCGCCTGCTCCAGATTGGGAAACTCACGCAGGCGGGCCTCTTTGTATTGACGCAGGACGTCCAGTGCCTTGGATTTCTCCGTGAAGATCAGCCACAATGGCGAGTCCGCTGCTTCGACGTACCGTTGATGGTGACGACCACGACGATGTGTGGGCATCGAGAGGGATAAACCATTAATAAATGAGCTGGCTGGCTGGCTGGCTGGCTGACTGGCTGGCTGTTTGGTCACGCCATCGGTTTTCGCGAATAGCGAACGAGCGGCGAATGCCGAACGAGTCGAGGATTGTGTGGAGCAAAACAAAATCAAAACAAATACGAGGGGGCGTTCGGTGGACAATGGGTGGTGGGGTAAATGCGTGTGACGCAGCTGCTTGCTGGCACAACGCCGGCACAAAATTTTCCGAGGCCCTGCCTTATCAGAAGTATCATCGACTTTGGTCTCAGATTGTCAGAGATTTCAAAGATATGTATTTACAAATCATTGAATGAATTTTAGTACAACCTCTAAAAACAAATCAATTTATATTTCTACAACTATGTACGTAAAATCGTGTTGGATATTGAAGTGGTAATCCACATGTTTTTATTCTCAGTTACCACTAACAGAAACTATTATTTTTCGAATTTAATTGGCCCATGAAAAATGTTTAATTGTTTACTATTTTTCACAGCACTCTTAGGACTGGCAAGACACTTTTAATAAACCCATTTACAATTCACTTGTTGAATTTATAAAAAACAAAAGCAGATAATTTTAGATCGCAGCTGGGGCGTACACACATTTCATATACTATTCTCAACATTACCACTCGAAATTAGCGAGTATGCCATAATTAAATTTACTTTCAACTCTTCGCAATGTGCGAGCAAAACAAAAACAAAATAAGCAGCCACTGCCTGGGGGTGTATAGATCTAATCAAAGATCTGATAAAAGCATGTAGAACAGGAAGGTGTGGTCAAAAAGTTCAAATAGTGAGCCATAAAACATTTTTAATAAATCAATTTGACTTTCATCATTAGGTTTTATATGTTCTATGAGGTGAAAAGTGATTAAGTTTTAAATTAATTTCAAAATTGCACGGTATCCTACAAGTCGACTTGAATGGGTTCCCTATTTTCTTTCTTTTGCATTTTACGCTTTTGTTTTCTTTTTCTGGGCAACCGACCGTTGGCTTGGGCCAAGGGAAAATGACAAGGGACAGGGACAAAAACAGCGACAGACACAACCCACAAAAAACAGAAGCCGGCAAAGCTGGGGGTATATAAATATTGGATCCGGGGACACGCACACAAGTTTTTTTTTTTTTTGGGCTACTTGATTTTCAGCTCCCATTAAAAATAACACTTTAAAAAAGGGAGAATTGGGGGAATATTTTTATTCGCAATAGCCAAGAACGGGACAGTTGCATTTAATTAACCAGGTAATTGTGATTGTTCACCTTTGGTTTATAATTAAATCGAAAGACCGCTCCCTGACAAGGAAATCGACTGTGCAAGCGAGACAACTGCGGAAGCCCAGTTTTTGTTTTTTTCTTTCTGATTCTCGATTCTCAGAAGGCAATGGCGCGAGAAACAGTAAAATGCTAAAATATACATATATACATACGAGTTGGCAATACCCAGAAATTATCCAAAAAGTCTACACCGATCATGAATATTCCTGTCAAAGTTTCATCCCCTTTATAAATCACTGTTAAAAAATCTCTAGTCCCTCGTTGTACCTCCTCTTAAGTTATTAAATCAGGTAAAAACACCATTCTGGTAGGTTTGCTACTTCGCTTAATGACTCATTAAAACAGAGCAATAATTCGCATATGCCCCTCGACTCCAGGGTAGCACAACAGCAACAAGCGGCAAACAACGGGAACGCGACACATACACACACAAAAACACTGGACTCGACTCGACTATCGCTTCTTCTCGCTTCAACTTACATGGATAATCTGGATCCTCGTACTTGGCAGCATTGTTTTCGTTTGGGGACTCGGATTGCTGATATAATCCCGATCCGGGCGGAGATCCATTGGGAGGCGGTGGCTTTATGTTCACCGCGGCTATTGAACCGACGCATAGGGACGCGGATCCCTCAAAACAGCCAGCCTTGGAGGTCGGGATATAGACCCCAAAATAGGTCGACATCTCTGTGAAAAATGGCGGCTGCATTTGTGAAAAGCAAAAGGTTAAAATTAGTAATAACACGAAATCACCAAAAAACTTCTTGCCCGCGTTTGTTGTTGTTTTCGGCTGCACTCCACACACACTCGCACAAAGACGCAAAAAAAAAAACACAGAAACAGCACAAGACATAAACAAACCTTTCGCGAACTTGTGGTTATACAGAAAACATACAAAGCGGCGCAAAAACATGTTCAGTTGTTATTCTTACCTTTACAAAATGGAACACAAAACATAAAACATGCAATTTCCGACTCTTTTAAATAGAATGTGCACCAAACTGAACGAAATTAGAGGTGGGTTGTTTTTGAGTCTAGGGGTGGAAAACAAATATGGTTTTTGTTTTCAGGTATCGATTGCTCGCTCAACAGGGCTATCGATAGTGGAACCGAGCTAATGACGGTATTATAGTTAAATTTAATGCTTTAATATTGCACAATTTTTGAAAAGTGGTTTAGCGGTGAACATTATAACTCGTTACCGGATCATCAGAAACCAAAAAAATTTATATGCGTTTTAAAGAAAATACATTCTCGAGGTAATCAGGGAGAGTTTTTTTTATTTTATTTTATATTAATTGACTCTAATTGACTTAAAATTTGTACACACTATTCTCTATATATTGGTCTTATAGAAATAAAATAAAATAAAAGTCCAACAAAAAGCTACACTAACTGGTTTGAGTCCATGGTGGAATTTTATTGTTTGGTATTTTCTTGGAATACGTTGAAATCCAGCTGTTTTTTTTAAGGGATTTTTTTCGGATATTTGAACGGCCGCTGACGGTTGCAAACATAACGTTCGTGAATTTCAAGTAGAAAAGCGGATTTCTCGCGCGATCTTCTTTTTTTAACGTGTATGTGTTGTGTGTTTGGCGTGCGGCTAACTTTGTTGTTGTTGTTATAGTGTTGTTCTTGGTAACAACGTGCAGTGCGCGCCTTTATAAACATCTTAAAAAAATTCTTTTGCCCAAAAGTGAGTTTAAATAAAAAAAATATACTCAAAGCAAATTTGAATAAATTCAAAATGGTTTGTTTTAAGCTTATGGCGCTTTTGGTTAATTAGCTAGAGTGTTCTTGGACCTTTTTTTTATTGTTGGTAGCTCAGGGATACACATGCATAGCAAGGGTGTGTTTTCCTTCGTGCGGGTGTATGTGTGTTGGTGTTTTGAACCTGTCTCTGTTTCTTGGCTAAAAATCAATAAAATAAAGCAAAAGTCGAAACAAAAAAAAGTGCAGGTCCTTTTGTATCCATGTGCGTGTAAAAATGTGTGAAAGGAGAATTTTACAGTAATCTTTTTCCCTCACTGAGCAGTTGCAACAAATAAATAAAAGACCGTTAAACGAGGCTCACTTAGTTAGTCGAGCATGGCCAAAAGCCCGAGTTGCCAATTGCCAATTAGAAGCCCAAAACAAACGAAAATACAGTGAGGCATGGCTAACGGTAATTAGGCAATTACTCCCTGTAAATTACCCTTGTATTAAACGTTCGTTTTTTCAAACATTTCCTGTTTCAAATGGATAAGTTAACTGCCGTTTTTAATCACCTAATTGGTTTTTGATTTTTCGCACTGCTAATCCTTAATTAACTACCTCAAACAAATTTCTTCCATTCGAAATGATTGATGGGTATTGATAATTAATGTATTAAAATTTAAACATTAATATTGGATTATCAGTAATTTACGGAAAGGTTTAGATGTACATACACTGTATTGTTTTATTTCTAGTAATAAAAGTAATCCTAACAAATAATGAATCGTCCAATGATCTTTTTATTTTCTCAAATTTTTTTAGAGGCAACACTATTTTTTCAATTACTTGCCATTTTGATGACCATTTAATATAGCAGCCTATTATACATATATCAACTGCTATTTACTGTAGTTGGCTGCACTTTGGTGTTAAGTGATCTATGATAAAATGTGTTAACCCCATAGCAAAGCCTCTAAGGAATAATTGCGAGACCCCATATTAATAATAATGGCGATTTTATCTCTCCGCTTGGCGTTTTGTTATTATTTTCTTTACAGTTAGCGAGCAGCTTACTGTTTTTTTTTAATGCCTTTCTTAACTGGATTGGCAATTGCTGGCTGTATTTTAAATCATTTACACTTTGCCAGCTGCCATGCACTGATTCTGATATAGCCCCTCCTCCCCGATCCCCTTTGTCTTTTGTTTACCTCTTTCTTCATGTCTATATATTTATTATTTTTATCAGTCGTGGCTTTATCTAATCGGCAGAGGGTGCGAGGATTCCTATTGCTGAATGAGTCACATTGTCATACTATATTGTTCCCATATTTATATATATCAAGTGCGGTTGGGCTGTCAAGTCCAAGTGCAGCCTCAATTGGCTGATTAACATTTAAGTTGTTTCGCTGGACTCTGGTGTAAACCTGCCTATATCTACACCCCGCTCTTTCTACACCGCTCGAGCCTTTCTTTTTCGCCCCGTTTGCCCGTAGAACTTCGAGTCGTTAAACCAGTTTATGACTGGCCGGGCATAGAGGCCATACGTTAAGTAAGTAGAATCAACAGACTCTGAATCAGCTGCGGATCTTACGACCATAGCTACTGTGGCTGTGTTGATGACCTGTAAACAACGAACGCTAAGGTGTATAAGCCATACGAAATATGGGAAACCGTTTACAAGTTATAGCCCCAAGATCTCAGACATAAAATTGGAATCCAGTTCTATGTGTATCTTTAGATAAGAGTCTTAAAAACTGATTACACAAAAAGTTAAAATTAATGGTAATTAATATTACATATCAAGGGGTATCTTAGAGTTCATAAGCCCAAATTACACGTTCTTAATAGCATTTTCTTTGTTGCCGTGAGGGCTTGAGTAAAAGCGGAAGAGAAAGGGGCGGAGAAGTGGGGGTATTAACTTATATGGTTGGGGAAGCGTGCCAATGGCTGCAACTTCCTTATATGTGCGTTTAATGAGCGATGGCTATAATCGGTTTTTACAAAAAATGAATTCAAATTAAATATTCAAGCTGTGGTCCCGTGATTGAAATCATCCAATCTGGTTTCCCCTGATTCAATCAGATGTGTTACCCTTTAGTTCTAGGCCCTGACAAACACAATTCGTAACTCAATAGTTAAACACAAAAATCGTATTTAAATTTAGGCCAATGCCAGATTTGAGGGGAATAGGGGTTTTACTGGAAATAATTGACCAAAAACAATGATCAGAAAGATGATTAAGCATTGAGTGATCAATGAGGCAAGTGAATTGCCGGCGGCGAGGATGGAAACTTCACTTTGAGTTTCGAATTTCAAGTCTTCAACAGCTGCGCCCGATATATTTACCTCTCTTGGGGCTTGAGTTTGTTTTTTTTTTTTTTTGTATTTGTTTAGTGGTATATTTGTACGGTTTACTTCACACTTCCTTATTGGCTCGACTTTGAACTTGGCATCTTCTCGAAGATCATATCGTGGGCCTTTTGACCTTCCCGGTTCTCTAGGATCGATTCAAGGTTGCCTTGTTACCCGTTGACCCAAATGCCACCATATAATGGATGACTTCCACGCAACAAAAAAAAAGGCGAAATAATGAAAACAACTTACATATTCAACGGATGGCGAATGCAGCCACAATGGCCATAGTTTAGTTTATTGAACGCACAATACGCTGAATAGAGCATGAACAAATGTTTAGCCAATTCGAAAATTGTGTCAGCAATAACAGCATCCAAATGCACGTGCCAATTGGCCCAAAATCAATTTCCATAAATCCTCACTGTTTGTTTTTAAAGCAGAAATATTGTACTATTATTTTTTGTGCATATTGGTATTGAGTTACTCAAGTAGTTTCTGAGTATTGCAATTTCACTAATTACTAGAACTGTAAGACAACAGTTTCTATATAGCGGATCGCAGAGTTTTATGTTTGGGTGGCCACGGCCTGTCACTTCTGGCCAAATCGCTTTCGACCCTTTTTGTGGGAAGACAATGTCAATGACGATTTTATTGTTTTTTGGTTTTCGTCCAACGATGATGAAGGCGAACGCACATGACTTGTCTTTCGGACATGAACATCATTATGGGAACGGCGGTGCCTTGAGATGCAGATTCAGATGCAGATGCAAAAGCTGTTGCAGTTAAAGTTGAACAATTTCATTGTCGCTGCTTTTATTCATATTTTTTTGCGTTTGTTTTATTGGATTTTGTTTATTGCTTCTGATCTTTTGTGGTGAGAGACAACAATGGGATTTTGTGTCTTCACCGAGGGCTCTATGTTATCGAGTGTGGTGCATAAATTACACGCTTTGTCACCTCGATTCGATTACCAATTTATGTAAATCGCGCTTTAATTTATTTAACAGCCGCGAGCCATCGATGATGGCAATTCAAGTGCGAAACAAGTGGGTGGGCATAATACCTATACTATATGGTAAATACTATTTAACTGTGATGTCACCGCCGCCGCATTCTGGGCCAATACAGTAGAGCACCGTTTTGGATAACAAAAGCCAATCAAAGGCACCGTTCACATGCAAAAAACCCAGCAACAAAAGTGGGGAAGCAAATACACAGTACGAAAAAAGCCATATTTATAATATACATATATATTTATAAAAAGAAAACTGTCATGAAATTAAAATATTAGACATTGCAGCATTTAATTTGACTAACTGCGAGATGAGTGTGACTCAATCATTGTCATTCAGAAAATGCACTTTTTTCTCTCTGTAGCAAGAAATAATTAGCTCACATACGTTTTCCACTCTAAGCATTTAATGAGGCCTCTAAGCTATTGTCTGGCCCCCAGTGCATCCCATAGCCCCCGCGAAGCCCCCTGGATGTTGTGTAATTTGTTGTTAAACTGTCAATTCAATTGACGTTACTCATACGACCCGTTGTGCAGCGGATGTTTAGCGCAGCGAGAGTTCCCCTCTCTTTTTTTATTTAGCATTTCTATGACAATGCTCCCCCGTTGTCTAATTTCTAGTCCAACAAAGGCGATTTTTTTTAGCTCTGCAAATAAATGCGGAAAAGGCCCTCGTAGCTTTAACTTTTGCCTTCGATGAATGTTGCATAACAGATTTTCAATTTCGAATTTTCACCGGCTTCAATTAAACTGTTAAGGCCTCAGTGGGTTATTTTAATTTGGATTTTCTGGCGTCTCTTTGATGTTGTGCCATAAATTTCCCCTAGAAAAGCCTGGAGCCCAGCCAAAAAAAAAAAAACGAAAAAGATAATTTTAAAATGGGTGCTATACACACGCACATCGTAATCAATCTGGAAAAGTACAGATTTAATTTATATAATATTCCAAAGGAATATATAAACGTCTTAATTTAAATACATAAAGTACCTGAACTGGAACACTTTTAAAAGAAAATGGTATTTGCTGTTTTTATGTTTATGTTATGTAAAGTATTTCAAGTCACCCAACACCTCGAAATTTTCTACTATTAAAATGAAGCCACAAGCGGAACGAGTGAATTGTCGCTCCAGCGACTTTTCTCTGCTAAAAGTCTAAGCATTTCTCATTTTTTCGACTAAGTTTGTATGTTCTATTGTTTTAGGCGCAGATCCTTGAGTTATTTAAAGAGGCACCATACCCTGTAATTAACCACTGATTAAAAAGGTCGTTTTAGTCGGTTTTCTTTGTCACCTCCATGAATTATGTAGTTTGTATACGAAATGCATTGCAGAATTATTTTCACCTTCGCCTGTCTTTTTTAATATGTCTTAAAGGTTTTTTTTTTGTGTTCATTCAGTGAGTCACTGTTGAAATGGAAACTTGGAATGCAAAACAAGCTTCTACATTAATTCTTTAAAAACGGAAATGCTTGTAAAATGTGTCATATTTGGGATGGCGAAGTATCAATTTATATTTGTTCAAAAAATGCAGTCAAACCATGATAAATGTGTAAAGATATTCTTAAGACCAGCAAATCGTTTTCAGGGAAATGAGTACATTAATCTTAAGCAGCAAACTCTTCATTTTTCCTGCAGATACTAACGAGTTATGTTATGTTTCCCGTACCCTTAAGTAGCCGTCATTCCCCTCTTCATATCCGCATCGGAAACACCAAAAGGTATATGGGAGTTAAAGACGCAGATGAAACAGGAACTGAGGTATCTTTCCTCTAATGATCGGACAGTATGTTGTATCGCCTCTCCTCCTCCTCCTCCAATTATCTTTATTTAAAATCATGTAACGCATTATGACTCCACGATAGACATGAGATGGCAAATTGATTAGGCACAATTAATCGTAATTAATTACAAGGAGCCAGACGCCATTATGTCACCCCGTCCAATCAATTCGCCAACGTCTTTTGTTAACCTGTCTTCGCCCCTAAATCGGTTACATTTTTCACACAAAAGAAAATGGGTTTTTAAGAGATCCATATTATATTGTTGTTAATTTTGTTTTTTGGCAACCGTTTTGGGAAAGTGGCGCCGCCTGCTGGCCAACTAGTGCAATTAGCCGAAAGTAAAAGTGGGCTGCACTGCGGGGAATCGGGATGTATATGTATAGTATACCATATAGCATATAGCTATTGTCTGAAACGGTAGCGAGTGGAAAGGTTTTCCCCAAGCCCATTTGAATGGTAGATGGAGATGCAATGTTTTCGGATCGCTTTGGTACGGTTTCGTTATACATATATGGTATATACATACATACATATGTCTGCTATATCTTTCCACATGTGAGGCTCGCGTGCAATCATCAATAACCAGATTTCAATGCCAAGACCTCTTGCAGCCCCCCGAAAGTCATTAACATTAGTCAAAATGAAAGTTTTCCCAGCGGACAAATAGTCACCTTGAGAACTTTACACGGGAAAAAATATTAAAGCCTAGAACGAACAAAGATTTGATAGTGTAGATATGAAATACATTACAGAGGAGTCAGTAGAACTCTGTTATCTCATTGAAAACTGAACGTGTTTATACCAATTTTATCGTTCTACTTTTAAATGAAATATTTTGAAACAGAAACCATGGTTTTTTCTGTGCTTTACATATTTATATTTTTGCTAAGGTTCGTGCTTTTTCTAGATTTCAGTGATATTATTGATATCGAAACACGTCCGAAAAAGGGTCCAACGTAGAACGCAGAAAGCAGAAAGTGATGGGGAATTCTGGAGAAGGGGCGAGGTGTTTTTTGGGGGCTGGGGTCTGCTGACGTCAATGTCTTTTGTTTGCCACTTTAAACGTGATATATACGTGATTTATACGCGAATAGAACGCGGCGAGACACTGGCATTTGCATAATGAGGAAGAGTTGGCCAAGAAGGGGGGCCCAAGCCACAATTATGCAATTTCCTGCCTGCCTCCAAGCACCTAATTATGGTTATTAAAAAATTTGGCAAATAGTTTATTCGCTTTTGCGCGCCCGATCATTTGCACATAGTTAGTTATCTTGAAGCCAAACGCATGCGAAACATCGGAATTAGCCATATCATTATGGTTAAAATATATATATATAAATATATATGTACATATGCGGTGGCTCGGATGTGGCGTGCCAACTGTTAGCCAGATTTGCAAATCCGAATCGAGTTGAACGAACGCTGGCAGCGATGTTTTGACCATCATCATTCAAGATTTGACAAACTTAAAAGCAGGAAAAATGGGGGAAAAACAAAAAGAAATGGAGAAAAAGAGTTGGCTGGAAATGGCCAACTTTACTCTTTAATGTCTTTATTTGTCTGATTAGCAAATTGATTTGGCAAACTAAAGACAAATAATAAATCAAATATGTACATATATACAAGAAATATAAAAATACTGTCTAAATAGTTATTGATTTTGAAACTTAGTAAACTAGTTTATCTAATGAATTATCAAAGACAAGGCAAGTGGGTTAATTCTCGGTAGATTTCCCTTTTGAGGTCGAATAGTTTGTTTTAGTTAAAGTCAATTCGATTGAATTTGACTTGACCAAGTTTCTCGCGCAACTATGTAACTAGCAAGCTTATCAACCACCGGGAATCGGTGTCAGCTAATCGCACCCACAACAAACCGCTGACCCCAATAGAGGAGCACTGCCCAACCAAGAACCACTTGGCCACGCCGACCACGTCCGATGGAAATGAAAAGCAAAACGAAAACATAATCAGAAATTGAAAACAAACCGAGAAGCAGAAGCCAAAACAGAACGAGAAGCGCCAGTCCAAACATGGTCAACGGAATTGGTTTGTCACTTTCTCAACCAGATCCAAAGAAGCATGAACGCGTCATACGGGTGTGCCCTTCAGTGGAATACACACACTTTTGTTCAGCTTCATAGGTTAATCAAAAATATATAAAATACTATTATATATAAATAATAGTTATACATGATATACCACTTGTATTAACTGCTTTGAATAAGCTCTTTCATATTTCAATTATATTATTTAAGGTATTTAGTAGTATTTCCCCCTGCTGTTTAGTTACTACGTAATTTGGTGGGGTTCTGAACCCCACCTTTGGCATTTCACGTCACACTCGAGCACGTTCTTATCGCTATTAATTGCCCCGCATTGCATAAGCAATGCAAAATCTTAAGTTCATAACAAAACATAATCTCTGACTCAGCCCAGTGGGTTATAATTGTAATTAGCCATAGAGAAGGCAAGTCTTTGCTTTGATTAGCCAAAAACCCAGTCAGAGGCTGGAGCTGAGTCGCATTACACTATGGTGCGCGATATCTGGCAGAGATCGGTGGGACCAGCCAGCTGAATCCGCAGTGGAGCGCAACTGAGTGTGTCCAAGTCAGCGGGGCATCCGAATAAGACCAAAGATCTTCGAAATCCGAAAAAACAAACTTGGGCGAAATCTAGATATTGTCCTTGGAGTCAGCACTGTGGAACTTGAACAATTATTTAAAGAATTTGTATAGTTCCCATGACGGCTTACAGTAACAATAATAATCGATATTTTACTGATTTATGATAATAACTATGCAGACATCATATTATTTTAATTTGTTTATCTTGCAGTTGCACCTGAAACAAGAAGGAAGCAAAGCGAAGCTTCACGAAGGGAGAAAATTAAGAAAAATTGAAGCCGCAGTGAGGAAATCAAAGTAGGAACAACCACAACGGTGAGTACCAGGGGGAAATGAAAATAAACAATCTGAAAATCATATGCAGAGAGTCGCAGATGGGAATGGGAATGAGATTTCAGATTTTTGTGACCATATCCGGTTGGCAGTTGGCAGTCGGCAGTCGGCAGTTGCAATTGCAGCTTCCATCATAACAATAGGAAAAACCGAAAGACGAAAAGCGGAGCGAACTGAAAACACAACTCTTGGTCTTTTAGGGGGCCCATGGAAATCGCATCTTGGCATTCGCCATTGTTAAGGGGTAGATTTTTTAGAGGGGAGATGCCAGAGAAAATGTTGCGTAAAGCGATTATATATTCGCGGCAGATCGGGCGATTAGATCGCTTCACTGATGATGGGGAAATCAAAACCATCAAAAAACGTTTCGTTTACGTTATGAAGAACTTTCTGGGAACAAAAAACCGCTGAGACAATTTATTGTGTAATTAATTGTGTAGTATTGAGTAACTAAAATAGTATATTCCAGTGTTGTAGCTATCCAAGAATCTATTTTGCACACGCACCTTATGCAACACTAAGTAGGCTTGCCAAAAATATTGTATCCTAGGCGGCTGTGTTATTTTTTCAGTCAAGTGTCATTCGATTGCCCGATAGCTCATTTCATTTTGGCATACCGTCTGAGCAGGAACACATTTATTAACGTTAGAAAATAAAATTCCAATCAAGATGCCACATAAGAAATTTCCTAGAATGTCGCAGGCGCAACTGAAACTTTTGATTAAAAAACAGAATCCGAACTTGGGTAAGCCCATGACAATACTAGAGCCGCCGAAGATTATACAGCAGCCGCCGATGAAGGAGTTCCGAAGGAAGCCGCCGAATCCTGTTTCATCCAAGAAGCAGTCCAAACCTGGTGTTGCTCCTCCAACTCCGAAAGCCAATGAGAAAGAGGAGAACGGAAAGAGGTTGCTGGTGGAGAAGACTGAGGATGTGGTTGAGCAAAATTCTCAAAAGCCCGATTCACCGCAGCAAAACGGCAATGCGTTGCCGGTGGAGAAGACTGAGATTGTGACCAAGCAAAATTCTCAAAGGCAGGATTCGCCGCAAGAGGAGGAAACACCGCAGCAAATGTGCCAGAAGCCAGAAGAAGAAGAAGAGCTCCCCAAGGAAAATGATTGGGCCACGTCGAACATCGATGTTGCTCAGCAAGAACCGAAGCTCCATAACGACAGGAAGCCGCCGCTGCAGAAGTGGTATCCCCGGGAGCAGGCCAGGCAGAAGCCCCTCCCACAGGGTCCTCCCCAGCTGGGCAGCCTCCACGAGTATCCCCCCTTGAACTACTATCACAACGGTGTGATTAGGCAGCAGCCTCAGCACAGTCCACCTGAATACTACCAGGTGCAGCCGAACTATGTCCAGGCTGCGGTGCTATCCCAACCATATGGTAGTGCCGCGAACCCCCATCCCTCTGGCTACCAGGCGTGGTATCGCCTGGAGGACGAGTATCCAGAGTTGCCGACATCCAGCAGTTCATCATCCGCTCCCTACAATGTGTCGCACGGACCATCGGTGCCCATTACCAACGATGGCCGAACGCATATGCCGCCTCCGAATGCGAATGCCTGGAATTACTTTACCGGATACCAAGCGACGCGTGGACCAATCGATGGTCCTTCGACCACGGTAACCATAACACCGCAGTTCAATGGGATCACTCAGCCGCAGTTGTCGTCCACCATGGAGATGACGCCGCTTGGTTCCTACGAGGCGCCACTTTTGCAACCCGAAACCCTGAATCTGAACTTTGACACCTTCAGCTTGACGGGCCTTTCGGTGCAGGAACCCCGGCAGGGTGAGCCAGCACATCCGCCGGGCTACCATGTCTTCAATGCCAGTGAGTCGCAAACTGTTATGCTGACCGCCGAGGATCGGCGTCATCTGCAGGAGGCCCTCACCCAGCGGGAGATTCCGCTGGACATTGCCTTGCGGGCCGTTATCGAGGATCTTCGCCGGGAGCGATTGGGTCAGGGGGCAGCTACTCATCTGCCGGAGCAACCCAGTCAACATGCCAGCATGCAGGCGGAGTATCCGCCGAATTCGAACGGTCCGATCAGCCAGGACCATAATGCTTGCATGGAGCAAGTGAATCAATCGGCGACTGCGTATCCGAATGGGGACATGGATGCTTCTGGCTATCCGACGAGCAGCGGCTACAGTGGTGGCTACCAGGCCCAGCCAGGCAATGGCTACTATGACCCCAATCCCGAATCGACGCCCAGCTCGGATTCCTCGGCGGAACCAGTGGCCGTACCGTCCACATTCAATCCACCGCTAATGGGATATCCGATGTATCCCGAGTATGATTATTTGCCCGGCTTCGGCCACATTCGTCCGGGTTACTTGCCGAATTTTAACCAGGCCGACTATGCGGAGGACTACGTTCCCAATTTCCTGCACGACTTTGTTCCTTACTACAATCAGCTTCCACCGCAGCACTTCCATCCATCCGGCACTTCCAACCGCTTCAACCATCCCAGCCGCGGCAATATGCAGTAACGATGAATCGGACGGAAGTGGGAGTCAGTACACATATCATTTTCCATCCATTCAGTAGGGAACCGAAAATTGATATAAGCTCGAGGGCTATGTATTGTAACAAATCAAAAAAGAAATGGACAACCGTAGCATATTTAATTTTGCATCTATGTATTATTAAACGCACATTTATAATATATTTATTATTAAACTTTAACTTTACTTGTCACGTCAGTTGATATCATAGGGCGGTCTAGTCATTCCCATTAAACCCATCAAAGCTCTCTGCTAGAATAAAAATAGTTATATATAGGAAAGCCATAAAATTTCACTTTTTATCCAACTTAAAGCAAAGAAGAAAGTGAAAAATATGCGAAAAAAATAAGAAAAACGAACAGCTCACAAATGGAATGGCGGAAAAAATCAACTTGTCAGCGCCAATTGTTTGGCAGATAGTTTCGTTTTCTAATGTTACCAAACCAATGCCAACAAAAGGCTCTTTTTTTGGCCATGACAATTGTCGAAAATCAAGTTAGATGAGTTGCATTCCCAAAAGTTAACTTTCTGGGGTATCAATGGTTTAGAATTTGATATCTTTTCGCTTGCTGTTGTATAATCAGTGATTTTAGATAATGTCTGTCGAAATGCATTTATTGAGTTAAGAAAATCAATTTAGTTATCAAATAAGCCCGATAGCGAGGGGAATCACTTATCGGTTTATAAATTATCCCGAACATATCAGAGCACTTATCAAAGAAAGCTAGCTGGTCACTGAACGCAATCAATTATATAAATCGAATCATTTAATTAACTGCAATGCCGCATTATAATATATCGAGTGTTGTGCGATTATGAACGGACAATTAAGTTTGAGATGATGACTTCTTTGGTTATATTTATTGTAAAATCCATTAGCAATTACCTGAGGGACTCGTTGGCAACTGGTTTGCAGTTGTGACACGCACGTTACTTGGCGGTGACCCCAATCTAAAGGCATTTGTGTGTCGTATGCTGGGCACATGAAACTGAAATTTCACTTTGTTCTGCGCAGTGAGGGAGCCTTCACTTTCGATTTGCATACCGACTCTAAGAAATTTGTTAGATAAGTGGGCTGACTGAGACAATGAAATCCCTCAGCTTGGGTGAAATGAAGAGAAATGCCGGAAAATGGCAGGGACAACCAGCAAAATGCTTTTCGACTGTGCTGAAAATAACAATTACCTTCCGTTGTGGCGGCAGTTTGCTAATTTCAATAAACCTATTTACTTATTCGCAATGAAAGGCAGTACAATATAGATGAGATCACCTGGAGTCCCTTCTATTTGCCCATACTGTACCTACAGATTTGTATATTTGTACATATATAATGAAAAATTATAAAAACATTTTCCCACATTATTTGCAAATTGAATCTCACGGGATTAATTGAGATTTAGAAGTTTAATTGTCGATCTCGGGGCTCTAAAATAAAAACCATTTTGTGGGATTCCAGTTGCAACTTTGGCGTGCTGCGAGTAGAAAGTGAGCGTGAACTTTCCCACCCACTTTTCCAGCACCGCCCACCGCCCACCGCCCCTTTGAACCCCACCCCCCTGTGCATATAATTATTGCACTTTGCCTTTTCAATTTCGCCTTTGTCGCCTGCACTTGAAGGTTGCCTTGCTTTTGTTTTCTTTAATTTTTTGTGCCCTTTTTTCCAGTGGGGTATTATTGCTTTACTGTGAGATTTGTCAAGAATTAAATTAAAATTTAAGCCGACTTAAGACAAATTGTTTATTAAATGTGACCACGTAAATTAATTGACCCCACCCAATCAAACCAATAAAACGAATATAATTGGAGTATGAAATATGATATTGAACTGGTTTGTTATTACGAAATCCGGTTGTAAATTATTTGCTTATCACGACTGCATCTATTCGGGCCACTAGTCAGGCCACTCAATTCATAATAAATATGAGAATATAAAAAGCGGTTATATTGTCACTCGGAATATCTTGATAACCGTTCTATTCACAAGCGGTTGAGTTAAGTCAAACAAGACTTTTTAACCGGCAAAACCCGATTGCAAAGAGTATCTGATGGAACGGCCAAGTGAATTTGTTTTTCCCTGGGTGTTTTCTTTGCGGCAGGGCTTAATTGCAATGTGGAGGCACTTGCTCTAGTTTTGCGGGCATATGAAAGTGCATTTGGTTTTTCTCCTCCGTTTTCGTTGCTTGTGTTCGCCTTTGTGCTATTATGAAATGGTCTGCACCCAGGGCCTTGAGTCCAATTCAAAAGACAGCAGACCTATGGATATTTAGCTGGGTCTAACTGAAAAGAGAAGCATTTAAAAAATCGTTATTCTTAATGATTTCTAACCCCTTACAGCAAAACGTTGAGAAGTTTTTATGGCAACTGGGATTACTTTTTAATTTAAATAACTATGTACTATCCATCAGGTGACTATTTGTTTGAAGCGAACTGTACAAGAGATGCATCTGATTTTCCGCCGGCTGCTGGGCAAATTGTTTAACGATGCTGATGAGATTTGCATACCACTTCCCCCAGAGCTTGGGGCTGGGACCTGAAGCCCAGTCTGGTATGGATGTCATTCGTTATGGTTCGCAGAACTTCTCCATTTGCTTGGCTTTGTTTACAATAAATCCGGCGGGCTTTAAACAATTGCTGCTTTGCTTTATGGCCCCCTCGAATTACCATGAAGCATAAAACATAAAGCAGGCGTCCAAATTGTTTTTGTGACCTTTAACGCCTGATGCCGTCATGTCAATGTTGTGTGTGTTGTGTGCCAAGTGGCGTATGCGTAATATTGTAGGTGCACTCTCATCAGTCGGCATGTCGCAGATATTTTCTACGTATCTTATCGGCCGGAGAACACAGCTCAAACAAGACAATTAACCCAAATAAATGGGTAAAATACGTTTAGCAAATTCTCGGTTCGTTTTTAGCACAAGCAAATGTACGTGCCGCATAAATGCGAATTAGGCCGGGCTTCAAATTGTGGTTTTCGACTCTCGGAATTGCCAAAAGTTTGTGTATAAAAGGAAAAACAACAACAACGACAACAACAACAACAAATTAACCGCCAGCTACCACTAAAGTTGTATTTTCACAGCCGCCCAAAATTGGAATGCTAATTTTTCTTTGTCAAGTACCCCGCAGAAATGGGGAATGCTCGACTTAAACATAAAATATTTTTTAAAGTTTTTTGAACTGAAAAATAAACATACATTCAAAAGCTTTCAAGAAAGAGTTCATTTCTTTTTTTATAGCTTCAATAAGTATTATATAATTTTAAACTCGTCTGTCAGGCTTGTTTGCCAGTTTTGTATTTGCGATCTTGCTGAGTAACGCAGTGTCGACCCCGTTTACCCGTAGCCTGTTGGCTTTATTTGTATTGCCAGTTGGCCAGAACAAAGCGGCAAAACAATTAAGAGCAAGCACGAGAGGGTCGAAGTGGTGGCCATACAGTCAGAGCCATTTAAGACAGTTACATCTTTTTTTTTTTTTTAACGTGGGCAGAAACTCGAAATGGAATTGCCAACAAAAAGGGATGGGCTGCCTGAAAACAATCATTCGAAGATGCGACTGAAGAAGGCTTTGTTTATAACACCAGTCGTCGACCCTCAGTGGGTGGGTGCACAGAAAAAAAAGAAGTTATTTTAATGACCCAAAAAAAAAAATCATATGAGAATAACATACAAATTTTTAATACATCAGGTTTTAATTCAACCTTTTCTTAATGGTATGTTTTAAATCTTATAATTAAATTTATCTCAAGGTAGTTCGTGTTTTTTTTTTCATGTGGGCGGGATGAGAGTGGAGCACCCAGAAATGCCCAAAAATGGCAACTCCTCCGGGGACAGGCGACTAAACCCGTTTGTCAGAATGTAAAGCGTATTCCGAAAACGCGATTTCGATGACTTCATCGAGCCTCACACACTTTAATGCCAATTGTTGTCCCCCAACAACTGACTCATCCGCAACCACTCTTTCTCCCCATCTCTTCCAGCGTTCGGGAGCAGTCATCGCAAGATCACAGAACGGGACGCATCATGACTTTCTACTGGTGGTCACACTGGTTCTGGATAACCCTCATCCTGACTGGTGAGTTGCGTGAATTTACCCTGAATCTTTCGATTTATCTTTACACTTATTTGATTCTTATTTGAATTTAATTAAATTATTTTTTTAATTATCCCTCAGTTAACTTGCTGTTTAGCCATGTCCACACATATCCCAGCCAGGAGGCGGAATCTCTGGCCTCCAGCCCGCATCCGCATCCGCAGCCTGTGCGCACCACCAAGCTCTACCAGACGACGGTGACCCAGACGTGGGGCCCAGCCACCCAGAGTAACATCATGGACCTGACCCACCGACCCACCACCAGCAGGCCGGCGGTGACCACCAGTTACGTTGGCCCCGAACTGCCGCAGGTCGATGATGTTGACCAGGCGGTGGAGCTGCGGGAGGAGGTCATTCAGGAGGAGGAAGAGCTGCAGGAGGAGGAACTGCCGCCCCATGATCGCGAACAGGAGGAGGAGGGGAATCCGGATCAGCTGGAGTTCAAGCGATCTGCAGACTTCACCTCCGAGCAGATCAACAACTTTACTAATTTCAGTAGTAGCACTAGGTAAATTGATCTAAATTTCTTCAAAGTAATATAGTTTTCGTGATCTTAAAACACCAGTTATCAGGCTTTAAGATAATTTTAGATAATTTTTTTTAAGATTATTACTTAGAAGTACATTTCAGATTATTTCGACTCTTGCTAAATCGAATTCTTTTCTAGTACAAATGGCAGCAGCAGCAGTAGTACCACCTCCAAGCCCGTTCCGATCAGCAGCAGTAGTCCGGCCACAACCACCACCACAACCACCAGAGCGGTGGCGAAATCGTCGACCACAGCAGCAACGCCAGGGAACGGAGCCAGTGCATCCACATCCAGATCTACATCCACGCCAGCGGGTTCGGCGGCAACTCCGTCGACGCCCAAGATCAACACGGAGTGGCTATCCGATGAGCTCCTGGCGGGTGCGGGATTGGGGGGAGTGGCTGTGGGTTCAGGGGTCACGAGCGAGGGGGAAAAAGCGCCGTTCACTCTGGAAAATGCCAACAAGGAGGATGAACTCAGGCGGGCCGAAAGCGAGCATAGATCGCGCAAGTCCAAAGTCCTGTCCGCCGAGTATAAGCACATCAATCGCTACATCAACTTCTCCAGCGACACCAAGAGTCTGCTCACGAGATCCGCCTCAGCGGCGCCCAGTGTGGCGGGGGGCGTGGCCGGATCCGGTTTCTACGATGGAGCCATCGGTGACGAGGGCAACGTCTCATCCGAGGCCCTGGCCATTCAGGTGGGTGAAAGCTTTCCTCAGAACTCAAAAACTATCCTAAGAAGATTCGCTATTTATTCAAAATTTAATATTTTTTTTTGATACCCTTGCAGAGCAGAGGGTATTATAATTTTAGCTTACCAAATTTCAGGAAATAATTTTTTATTTTTTAATTTTGTGGGGTTTCCCCTTGAATTTTTTTTTTGCAAAATCGGGTTTTTTCATTTTTTGCACATATTTTTCTTGCCGTTTTATATCAAACCAATACCCTATATTTTTCATATTTATTTTTAGCGAACGTATTTCCTGGATGCGGGTGCCATTTCAGCGATTTGCTTCACTGTCTTTGGCGTTTGCTGTACAGTGGGCACCATCGGCATCGTACTGTATCGTCGTCGCTATTTAAATAAGCCGCAGGCCCTCAGCGAACCGGACTCGAGTGTCTACATTGATGACAGCACCATGCGGGTGAGTGTAAGGATTCGTTGACCAATTGCCACAGGCGCACGAATTTCCTATGCACTAAATAGTTCTCCCTTTTGATATTGCAGGACAACTCGGATGAGATGTACAGCTTGGACAACGACTCGTTTCTCAATTCGCTGGAGGCGATGACAATACAGAACTACTGGACGGATACGGTCAAACATACAAAGCTTTAATTTCCGGCCTCTCCCGTTGGAAGTCCCCCTCATATTTAATCGATCTTAGTTCCATTTCGATTTCGTTTCGTTCTTTTTATGGAATTTCATTCCGGATTCAAAACCAGACATCATAATCATTAAGTAGCGTAGCGTTTAAGCGTGTGTATGTATTTACTAATGTTAGGCAACCAAACGAGCAACTAGTTTAAGCCCAAACTACCAAAATTATGTTTAGTGTACGTGTAGATCCTAAGTGCGCAATGTTTTTGTTGGTCTTGGCTGTTAACAAAAGCCTCCCTAAGAACTCTCCCACTTTTCCACATCCCAATCCATATACACGGCCTGCTCTCTGGATAAACCCAATCGTACTCGTATCTGTTAATTAAATATTAAACCTTATTTATATTGTTGACTATTTTATCGCCCCCGATACCCAATCCTTATTTTATAAACCTATTTATTAAGTTTTCAACTTTGTGTGTCCAACAATTTAACGCAATCATTCCTTCCAGTTTAGCCTATAGAGCAACTTTACACTGTAATTAATGTATTAAAAGCGAAACAAGCAAACAACAATTAAAAAAAAACATCACAATTACACATCGGTGTTGCTAGAGCTTTGGCAAAAATAATTTATTTCTAGCGGACAAATATTTAGGAATCTTCTAGTAACATAAGATTTCTGAAAGCAACATTTATATGATAAAATTAATTTAATGGGGAAACAAATCTGGCAATAAATCGGGCAGAACCACTTTATTTTTACTGAAAATTTAGCAACACTGTATAGAATTGTTTCAATATATATACACATATATCAAAAAAGAAAAATAAGCTAACAAAGAACAAGAAAAACTGTTTACTGCCACACAATCCTTGTCAATTTTGCTCATCGAACTTTTATACACCACTTGTACTTGTATTAACCGTTCGAATGTTGCAAATATTAAACGAAAAACAAACCGACGAAACATTAATCATTAAATGCTAAACTAAAATTTGAAAAACTGTTATCCATTGGCGTGGCCATATCGCTGGGAAATCTTACATACCAACAGTGTTGGAAAAGGTACTGATTTAAACTAAAGGTAAGAACTTAATTGGTGGAATTTAAAATTAACTTATTTAAATTGACTTATTTTAATAATTTTAGGTTTAATTCTTTTCTTTGTTCTGAGCTCCATGTGAGGTATAAAATTTATATTGTTCTTCGACGCTGCTCAACACTGTTTTTAGTATTTATCGATAGGCCTTCAGCCATCGATGGCTCGCCAAAATATCTAAATGGCAGCCAATCGTTCCTCCGCCAATCGAGTTGCTGAAGGAGTGCAATAAATATGAATTAAATGGTAAATATAAAACCGCGACAGGTGTTGTTTTCGGAGTTTATGGTGCACGTCGTTGTTGATGGTCTCGTAGCAATTGTTTCTAGCCATCAAATTGTTTTTGCTGCTGTTTGTGTACTGTGTGTTGTTGTGCGGCTGCTGAACGTTTGGGTTTGTGAGTGTGTGTTATGTTGTGCGGTTCCCCCACCAACCAAAAAAAAAAGGAGCTGCGAAAAAAAACACGGCAAATCTATTGATTTTTAACAATACGCACATGGATAGACACACATAACGGGAGACGACAGGGAGTTTGTTTTTCCCACGCCTGCAAGTGTTCAGTGTTTAACGATTGCAACATTCGGCGGGTCGACAACAAAGGGGCCAGCCAAACCCCTTGCGGGCACCACCCACTTGCACCGCCAACCCCACCGTGCAGCTCCACCCGTCCGTGTCCTTCGCGTGGGTGGTTGTTGTGTCTGGCTGCAGCTTCCTGCGTTTGTTTTGCCTGCGCGAGGACTTTTGGAGGCCAAGTTTACGTGTGCGCAATCAAAGCCAAAGGGACACAGGAATTTAGGGAACAGCTCGGAAGGGGGTCACATATGTATAGATAGGCCATAGTGGGTTAATTACCCGCATTGATTTCGCTGGCCCTTAAGGGTCACACAGCAACCTCGGGTTTAACGCACCTGCAGCGCAGTATTGGAAATCTTTGAAATACCCCTGCAGACACACAAATGCTATTTTTAAACATATAAAGTTTTTAGTAAATATAATATATAAATAGCTTACAACTGAATAGAGATTGATTTCAAATAACACTGCGGATTAAAATATTATTATTATTAACAAGAACTCTTTGAATACCCTGCAGCAGTTTAAAGATTGTTTGTAAATTGAAGTTTAAGTGTAATGCTTAAGTGGCTAAACTTTCGTTCGAAATATCCTACTTTTAAGACTCAGACACCTTTATTAGTGATTTCAAACCTGTGGTGTTTTCTGTGATAAGAAACTTGGGTTTGCAATCCCATGCCTAATGTTACATGACCGCAGATGATTGGATATCTCAACTACTACGTCACCCACAGCGGCCACCTGTCCCTGACTTTTTTTTGCTGGGCTGTGGCTGCATTGCAGTGATTCATTGCCGCCTTAGATCATCGACTAATCACCCAATATATTCTCCTTCAGGCAGTGGCCCACAGTGAGGCAGCAATCGCAGCAGCAGCAGCAGCGGATGCAGCAGCAGCACTTGAACATTAGCAGCCATCGAAGCTCGGAGGAGTTGCCCACTTTCCCCATCCCCGGAGATCCCAGTTGCTGGTAACAGCCATGAACTCCAATTCTTGCAGCGACAGCAGCAACGAGTCCATGGTCAATCCGGCCCACATTCAGATGAACTTTGGCCAGCAGCAATTGCAATCGCAGTCGCAATCGCAATCGCAGATACAACAACAGCCATTAGCAATTCAAGGACAACAGCAGCAGGAGCGATATGTGTGGGAAATGCGCACCCGTAGTCCAAATGTGACGCCAGCCAGCACGGTGCTCAATTCGCCGGATCTCAATGCCGAGCTATCTTACGTACCGCTGCAGGGTCTTTCGCCAACCGATGGCGGCGGTCAAGTGCCCAGCGGTTATGGTTCGAATGCTGGGCGGGATTCCAGTGGATACTACTACCAGCGACCGCATTTGCATCAAATCCGGTTGGGCAGAAGTCCGGGCAGTCAGTTTGAGTCACGGGATGTCCTGCCGCAGGTGAGTTAAAAATGCGCAAATAATACCTAAAGCTATCTCAATATCTGCGGCATTGAGAAATACTTTAAGCTCTCTGTTGATGTTTATTAGAGTTTAATGTTATTTTTTCTTTTCATTTTAAAGGGTTTAGCAAGTCCCGGCTCGCCAACGGATGTGGGCAAGGCAGATGGTCAGTGCCTGCGGGATGGCGAAATTGTGGTCTTCGACGACATCGACACCAATTGGATGAATAAGGCTTCGAGTGGCCAGAGACCGGGCAGCAATGAGGATGTCCTCAAGGTGACCAAAATGATTGGCCAACTGCCGATAGCCGAATATGAGGGCTCGCCGCGACGATTCGGAAGTCAACCGAACTCCAATTCGACTTCGAATACGATCACCTTGGGTGGTCCACGAAAACGTCCGCCGGGCTTTCCGCAAAGGGTTTCACCCACGACCAGTGGTGGTAATACGAATTCAACTACCTCGGCCAAAGCATCCGTGGGCAACCTCATCGATTTGATCGACCACGAGGAGGAGCGGTCACGCGAGAAGACGCCAACCTTCGATTACCTGTACGAATTCTCAGAGACGCGAAAGGTGCTGGAGGAGTTCTTCAAAGCGAATCCGGAGGATGAGAAGCGGTATACGGACTGCACTACGGAAAGCGGCGACGATGGGGCCAGTTCGGTGAGTTTTCCTCTAAAATTGTGGCTAAGGTAATCCAATATTTAAGAACCCTCTTCTATTCTTCCAGCAGCAACAGGAGTACCCAGCCACACCCTTGGAGCAGGCTTATATTGGCCAGCGACTGGCGAGAATACCCAAAGATGAGCTCTACATGGTGCACCGCTCGCCCGTAAGAAAGCTAGTAAGTGTTACCCAGAAATAGACTAAGTTAAAACTAGTTCTCAAACGTACAACTAATTTTTAGCCAAGTGACCAAAATCCGGTGACGGCCTACCAGGAGCACAATGACATCGAGTTGTATATCGATTCGAATAGTCGCAGTAGCGGCGATTTAGCGGACACGGAACTGGAGGCCAATTTGCGTCGGCACTCGCGGAACTTCACTCTTTCGCCGGAGACGACGGACTACGATTCGAATTGCGGCGATCTGGATAGCTTGTCCAACGATATCAACTGCCCCACGGATTATGGTAAACTGTATACGAGCATGCCTGTCTTGGAAGATGGCCTAAGCAGCGGCCATGCGTCCGATACGGAGAACAATGTATCCGTGGTCTGTGACAAGCAGCAGTCGTCCCAGTCCCAGTCGCAATCCCAATCACAATCCCAATCTCAGCCCATCACGCACGAGCACAACGGGAATGGTGAGCGGTTGGAGAACGACTACAATGTGATGAGTGCCAGCATGGCGACGTTGACCACAGATGCCTCGCAGTCGGCGCTGATAAGTGATTTTGCCTCGCTGCCAATGCCACCGGCACCGCCTCCATCGTCGCCGCCCCAAATCGAGATAGCGGATGCCAGTGAATCCATTGCCATGGCCACAGAAGTAGATAATCCGCTGGACAGTCACTACGGTGCCGTTTATGCGGCTGCTTTGGCTGGTTCACTAACCGATAAATCTGCAGGATCTGGACTGGGAGTGGTTGGTGCGTCTGTGGTGAATGCCGGTGGTTCGCTGCCATCGCAGGCTGCGGCTGCCACGGAAATCCAGGAGGCCATGAAGGAGATACGTTCCGCTCTGCAGCGTGCTAAAACGCAGCCGGAAAAGTTAAAGTTCTGCGACGAAGTGCTGCCCACGGATCCGGACTCGCCCGTTTGGGTGCCACGAAAAACAACCTCCGTCTCGGCGGTTCAAGTGGCGGAAGAGGAACCGGATACGGATCTGGAAACGGATCGATTGCTGGGTCAACAGCGGCACGACGAGCCAGACTTTTTCGCCGATCAAGTGGGTTATATTTGAAATATCTCTATATATATAAACCTATTCCATATATTAATATAAATATATATTTATTTAGCCCCTGGCGGACAGCAATGCCAACGAAGGAAACGAAATCGCCAGCAATGGACACCTCAATGGCGCGGCGGACAACAACAATCCGAATCCAATGATTAATACCAAGCCGCAGACCTACCCAACCGCCACGATTCGACAGGGCATTGGTACCTCACTGACGCCCAATTCGCCGGACATTTGCCAGATTGTTGGCACGGCGGACATCTCCATTAGTTCCCCGGAAAAACTGCAGTTTAGCAAAAGTCCCACGGGATCTATCAAGTCGCTGAAGGATTCGGCCAATTCCGATAAGAAGGCCAAGTCGCGCAACAAGGAGGGTAAGTGAATAGGAGTTTTATATACTCATATAGATTATACGTTTTTTTTTACTGGGCAACGCCCCTTGTTATTCGTTTACTGATATCGAAAAACCCATTTGACATTTCACGCTGCAATTTGCATTAACCCAATGCTGATATAATGTAAGTCTCTGACTCCAGTAAAGGCTTACCTATTATTTTGTTGATAAAAAAACACATTCCATGACTTATAACACGTGTACTTTCCCCTTAAAGGTCTCTTGGAACCCAAAGTTCTCATTGAGGGTGTGCTATTCCGTGCCCGATACCTTGGATCCACTCAATTGGTCTGCGAAGGCCAGCCGACCAAGTCGACCAGGATGATGCAGGCCGAGGAGGCCGTCTCCAGGATCAAGGTAAGTGATATGAAAACCCCTCAAATCACATAGAACCACATCCATCCAAGAAACCCCGCTAGGCTATGCTCTATTGTGTGTGTTTGTGTCTAAAACTTTCTCGTTCGCTTTTCTCGTTCCCTGCTGCGCATTCCTCTCGATAGGCTTTGGTAAGCGATCGTTGGCCCCGACTATAGAATTAGTATTAGATCCCCTAGAAGGCACTATTTATTTTTGAACACTTTGTTCTTATTTTTCATCAGGCCCCCGAGGGCGAAAGCCAGCCGAGCACTGAAGTGGACCTGTTCATATCAACCGAGAAGATAATGGTGCTGAACACCGATCTCAAGGAGATCATGATGGACCATGCGCTGCGTACTATATCCTATATAGCCGATATTGGCGATCTGGTTGTGCTGATGGCTCGTCGAAGATTTGTGCCCAACAGCGTGGTGGATCCAGCGACCGCCAGTCCCTTGGGCGATGCCCCCAGTCCGGGAATGGGCGAGGATGAGTCGCCACCAAAGGAATCGCTCAGCAAGCACAATCGAACGCCCAAAATGATCTGCCACGTGTTCGAGAGCGATGAGGCGCAGTTTATAGCCCAGTCGATTGGGCAAGCCTTTCAGGTAATTTATTGTAAATCTTAACTTTAAGTAGAGACAGTAAATAATATTTTGTTTTAATGTTCCTCGCAAACCAGGTGGCCTACATGGAGTTCCTGAAGGCGAACGGTATCGAAAACGAGAGCCTGGCCAAGGAGATGGACTACCAGGAGGTGCTCAATAGCCAGGAGATCTTCGGCGATGAGCTGGAGATCTTCGCCAAGAAGGAGCTGCAAAAGGAGGTGGTGGTGCCGAAGGCCAAGGGCGAAATCCTGGGCGTGGTGATCGTGGAGAGTGGCTGGGGTTCCATGCTGCCCACCGTCGTGATTGCCAACCTGATGAGCTCCGGAGCAGCTGCCCGTTGCGGTCAGCTGAACATCGGCGACCAGCTGATCGCCATCAATGGCATGAGCCTGGTGGGACTTCCACTGTCCACCTGCCAGAGCTACATTCGCAATGCCAAGAATCAAACTGCCGTCAAGTTCACCGTTGTGCCCTGTCCGCCCGTCGTCGAGGTGAAGATCCTGCGACCCAAGGCCCTCTTTCAGTTGGGTTTTAGTGTTCAAAATGGCGTGGTAAGTTATAAAAAACATACCATTTATTGCTCAAATATTTTTAATCGGAAATTTCCCGTTCTCTTGCAGATCTGCAGCCTTTTGCGTGGAGGAATCGCAGAGCGCGGTGGAGTACGCGTTGGCCACCGCATAATTGAGATTAACAACCAAAGCGTTGTGGCCGTTCCACACGATACCATTGTCAAGCTGTTGTCATCCTCAGTGGGCGAGGTGAGAATCCCAATTAAAAGTATATATTCCTAAGTCAATAGCCCAATTTCCCAACAGATCCTGATGAAGACGATGCCCACGTCCATGTTTCGTTTGCTCACCGGCCAGGAAACGCCTATCTATATATAAATATATGCTACTGCTCACACGCCAGCGCTGGAATCGAAAAACAAAACTATAAATTCGTCAACTGCAACACGATCAGCTTTATGATTTATTTAAATTGATTCGAAAATAGACCAATATTCGGCGGTCGATTAGCCTTTAGGTTGATAAATTGTTCATGGACTTTTACAAAGTCTTTATACAAGGATATTGTTATTCAAATGATTAGTTCATTTGGTAAAGAATTTGAAAATTGGTAAATCCATTTATGCCTTAAATGAGATTAAATTCTTATCGAGAAATCGTGCAACTGCCCAGAATGGATAAACTGCGATGGAGATTATTATTATTCCGGTACAATTGTTTTCTTTTCGGTTATTATACCACCTTTGTATATGAAAGACTGAATTTAAAGCCAGTGCAAGTGTACGTGAGCAGTCATTGTAAAGTATTTGAAAAAAATTTGTAAGCCCAATGTCCCAAAACAAAAAAAAACCCCAACCTTCCCAATATTCCCTCGCATCCAGTAGCTTAAGCATTCGATTGAATTTACTTGCAAGCAATTATTTATGATATGATCTAATCCATTATTTGTCATGTAAATTAACCGTACTTTAGTTCTTTAACTACATTTATAATTTTCGATAAAAAGAAACAAAAAGCAACACACCTTATGCCAAAAAAGAGTTAGATTTCGTTACACTTATTATTGTATAGAGCCGTTGCGGATGATAATTGCAATACAATTACCGATATTTATAATTTAAAAAAAATAGCCTTAGAAAGACGAAGCCATGCCTGCAAAACAACAAACAAAATAAATGCATTTAAACGCGTCAGAATTAACAAACAAAAATGAAGCGCATATTGATTCTAATTGTATATGTCTGTACAAGAAATCTGCACATTTATCGATCGATTATTGCCATATACATAACGATATATGCTCGTACATAAAATATGATAAATTTAAAGCGAAAACAATAAGCAAAACAGCAAAAGTAATACAAAGAACAATAATTTCAGCATTGTCTAGTTTCTGTTAAGCGAGGGCATAAATGTATAAGAAAGAGACGAAGCTACATAAAAGACAGAAACGGCGCCACATGGAGCGAAAGAGAGAGAGAGAGCTTATTTTTGCATACTTTAAAAAGCGACAAACAAAAGGCAAATAAACCACAAAAGCAAATAATAAAAACCATTATGTATACATATGTATGTTATTAATCTAAAAGGACTAAATGACTAAACTAAAAGAATATTTTAAATATTTCAAGTGCAGGTAACAACAAAAGACGCAAGCTAATAATATTTATATAAATATATTTATATATAATACTTCTGAACGCCATTCAGAAGCGCAGGTGCAAACTTTTTGAAAAACACTGAAACACGCAGCCACAAAAATTGATAAATACATTTCTAAGCTACTCGGGACACGGCAACAACACTAAGGAACCCACTAAAGAACTCTCTGCTACTGCGCCTCTAACTAACTTCTTAAACCAAACACTAATCGTATACTACTAATGCAATTTATTATTAATACTTAACACGTGACCGATTACAAACAACAGCGAGAAACAAAAATAAACTACATTTATACACAAAAGTCTTCTGGTTTGTGGTTGCTCTGATTTTGGTTGGGTTAATATAATATTATAATGTGCTGTAGAAAATATAGCTCTTTAAGATATGATCTTTTTAAGTATACATATTAAATATTTGTCATTTAGTATTCATGGATCAAAGAGGGCAGTTGGAAACCGAAGGGCATGGCAAAGTTTCGGGCCAGATTCTTCGAGGAAGATTTAAGCGATACAATATACTATAATAAGATAACACCAGAAACTAACTTATTATTTATTAAGAAATCGAATTATTGAAGATAATAAAAACTAACTAATGTTAACGTTGGGCGTGTGGAGGATTTTAAGACACCAGGCAAACAGGAACGCCAGCAGCAAAATATTCATTTTATTTAATTCAGATTTACCTACAGCCGATTGCTGTGAGATATGTTTGCCTGCTATCGCAATTTTTAGGATTTGGTCGTAAACAAGCAAGTTCGTAGGAGTAGTCACTAAAAAATCGGTGGATTTTTCATTTTAGACACCAAGCGAACAGAAACGTTTAGCAGGTGTATTTGTTCGCCTGGTGTCAAAAAAAATCCCCCACACGCCGAACTTTCACATTAAAACAATCAATAATTTAATTAGTTAGTTTTTATTTTCTTCAATAATTCGATTTCTAAATAAATAATAGGTTCGTTTCTGATATTATCTTATTATAGTATATTGTATCGCTAACCTCTTCCTCGAAGAATCTGGCCCGAAACTTTGCCATGCCCTTCGGTTTCCAACTGCCCTCGTTGATCGATGAATCCCGAAAAAGAAATATTTAATATATTTAACAAGGTTATACCCTTTCTAGTTATTCCTTTGATTTAAGCACTGTCTGTTCCCGTAAACTGCTATTTTTGCTGCAATGTTTTCGTTTAACCCTGCGCATAAAACTTTAATTGCCAGGAGCGGTGGTCGGGTTAAGGGTCATACATAGTTTCGCCGAATGTTGTTTTTGTTGACGCAGTTGCAGCCAAATGAATTTCATTTATACGGGAGGGCCATGTGAAATGTAAAAAAGTCTCGCCCCATTTTGCTGCTAGCAACTTTTGATTTACGGCGGAGCTTTCACAATTTCATGGGGAAACAAAACTCAATTTGTTGGTCTCTGTTTTCCGCTCGGGGCCAAAATGTAGATTTAATAAGTTTAATAAGTTTGAAATTTATATTATAATCAAGGACTCCCTAAAGGTGTGCAAAAGGATACTGTGAAAAGTTGTGCTTAAGTTATCCATAAATTTCAGGAAACCATTTACGAGATTTATTTCTTTCCGTGCACAGCCATTTACTGCTGATGTGGAGCCAGAAAAACTTTCATTTTTAAAATATTTATTCAACTCCTTTGCGAAAAAGTGATTGTAATTATTTGCCCCCAGGCGAATGTAGAGGAACAGAAGAGAATTTATTTATGAAGCACGTAAATATACATGTTTATATGTTTGTAATCGAATTAAAACGGCATAAGGATTGCGGTTGTAAAATGAAAGGTACATATTTTCAACTTTGTGCATTCAATTTGCATTGAAATTGGATGTTAATATTTATAAATTGAAGTGAACCGTGACGGACCAGCTTTTTTATTAAGTTTCAAGAGGCGCTGCAGATATTTTAACCACGAAAGACTTATTTCGAATAAGTATTTTTTTAATATTTATACAGCGAATGTAAAAGGGGCCCCTTTTCACCTGGTATTATAAATTTTAAGACACACCATTTTAATTCGAATATGTATTGAAATCGAAACACAGTTAAAAATATATTGCTATGAAAAAATTGTTGTTTTTTTTTGTATATCCCTTTTAAACCTGTTGCAGAACCGTGCACAAAAAGTACACATCCAGTTATCCCCAAGGGAAATTCGCGGATTTTCTTCACTGGTTTTTCACAACGGATGAAAATGCATTTAAATGGCCATGCGGCAGTCGTATATCACACTGCACCAGATCATATCCTTTGACCAACTAGGACTCGGACTGAGATGGCCATGTCCCCCATTCTGCATGCAATTCGCGGTCACCGGTGGCTCTTTGTGTGGTTTTGTCCTTTGGCTCTTTATTGCCATTGTTGGCTTTATTGTCGCTGAAAATTAAGTGACAAAAGAACCGGAGTTCTGTCGTCCTGACTGTAGATTTTCCCCCTTTTTTGGTCGATAACACGGATATGATACAGCGAACACTCTGACGCAAATGGTTTATGATAAAAAATTTTATTTTTAATATTTGTTTTTAACAACTAGTCAAAAAGTTAAGAATCCTATAGGATTCTCACTAACTTTACAATTTACATTTGACAGTGGCGCTTTTGTTATCCTTATTACATATTCAGTATTTGTAATGTAAATAATCTCCTTGACATTTTAACTATATTCGCCCTATTGAACACCCAGAATACATATTTTCTTAGGGTTTTAAGCAAATTATTTAATTTACTCTACCTCACAAAATATAATCCAATTGTATTGGTATTTTAGAGCTCAAAAAATAATTTTAACAATAGCAGTGTAAGTCAGTGTTTACTGTCTGTCGCTTTATGCATTATGTGGAGCAGTCGTTCGTTTGGCCACTCATCTGTGGAATTTAATATGCACATTTCTCTGATTCTACATCTGTCACGACTCCCGTTTGCAACCCACTCTTTTTGGCCAGCACCAGGTTTCTGGGAACTTAATCAAAACGCGATGCGGTCAGGTGTGTCAGGCGTGAGCAAGTCATGTGCAAACTATTTTCACACCTTTTATGAACTGATTTCGCCACAAATTAAATGACCGTAAACAATAATGGCAATCATAAAATATAAATTACCAAATAATTGTTCTGGGTCTTGTCATGTATGAGATAATATTTTAAAAATAAATGAACACGATTTGCATCTTATCTTGATATACAGGTGAATAAATAAGTACAATAACTTGGGCTTGGCATTCACTTGAATTTCGGTCGAATAAACCAAATTATTAACATAAAGCCTTAGACATGAACTCACATTATAATTTTGTGTTTCCCTGTGCCTCAAAGAAACTATAAATAATTTTATACATTTTCTAAAGGAGTTCCTTTTTCAGAGAACCTCGCGAATTTTCTTTCTCAACTTTGTTCGTCGGCAAAGCGAAAAGTTTTTCGCACATGTCGCGGTGATGGAAAGGATGTGGCAAGGGGTTAGCCTGAGTTAAAGTTGAATATTTGAACTTGCATATAATGTGTTAATTAAGTTGTATTTTGCGCCGTGTCGCACGTGGCGTATACTTCATATTTCCCAACTGAATCGCAGTCGCTGTCGCTCCGCCTGTCGCTGTTTTGTTGTTTTTGTATCTGTGTGCGTGGGGGTCGGTGAGTGTTTTTGGGTGGTTTTCAGAGGGACGTTAGAGGGACGTTAGGTTTTGATTTGGCATGACCTTGCGTTGCTTGGCCCCACCAAGGTTGATGGAGGTTTTTGCCACTCGAAACGCAGCAAAACAAAACAATTAATGCAACTGGGTTTTCGTGCCTCATTTGCATGCAGTCGGAGCAGCTGCATCGTGTTTTCCCGCGAAAAACCCCAATTAGGCGGGCTTAATCAACGGCCAAATGGTGCCATTTTCTGCTCTCACCACGTTTTTTGGTGATTTTATTTTGGTCTGTAGCATAAGTCAAAATGCCAGAAAAATGCTTTAGCTTTCGGTTTACGAGTAATCACAGCCACTTTACTTTCGTAGGAAACCGTCGATTGGCCCTTTGCGTGTCCCTTTTTACTGCCCACAATGATCCCCAAAAAGTGTGCTACAAAAATTTGATTTGTACTCACGCACGTGCAATTCCCACACAGACCAACAAACTAGCAAGCAGCAAGTACAGTGAACACAAAGATTTTTATTGACTTAAAACAGCTCAATCTAGGAATAACATACAAGCTTAATGCATAAATTAATTTTTAGTAATTTAAAAAATATGAGCGGAAATATAAATCTTTTTTGTTAACTTTTTCAAATTCTCGCTTACAGTGTTTACTGTGGCACAAGCAATTGAAAAACCAGCTTTGCCCGAATAATGGAGAATTTTACGCAAACGTTTGTGGCCAAGTCGTTGCCATTTCCGTTTCCGTTTATGATTACCAGACGATGGAGCGTTTTGTGTGCACTTTCTATGCTTTCTATTCTCTCATTTTGCCCGCCCCGTTGAAACTTAAGTTTATGATTTTGTGTAAAATATGTATATGGGTGATTCCATATCAGATTTACAGTCGATATTGGGAAATTCGATGAGATATTTTTTTTCATGCTCTTTATCGAAAATAAATCGACACGTATTTTTTTATATGGCTCAGAAAATTTTTTTGACAAAGTTATGATTTTTTGAATTTTTGATGAACTGCCCTTTTTTTGATGACAGTCGCGTTTTCCAGCCCCAATAACTCGAAAACCGTACGTCGCAGAAAAAAATGAATAGGAAGTAAAAATTTCATCCTTCCTTCTTCTTTGCAAAACTTTCGTGAAAAAATTTTTTTAAACAATTTTTCACCACAAAAAGTTCAAATTTTTATAACAAATTAGTTTTTCTCCAACTTGGACATTTTTGATTTTTTTTTTTTTTCACAATAAATCCCTCAATTTCTTCTGATGAACATAGTAAAATTTCAGAATGGTATCAAAATTAGTTTTTGAGTTATAGAATTTTAAAGATTGTCATGCACGGTCCGCGCGCTCGGTCTCAGGGCGTGCGCCGACCAACGACTCTAACGAGCGTCAATTCGCTTCGCGCGCGCATAGTAAGGGTCAATAAAATGAATTTTTAATGCTATTTAATTCTATAACTCAAAAACTAATTTTGATACCATTCTGAAATTTTAGTATGTTCATCAGAAGAAATTGAGGGATTTATTGTGAAAAAAAAAAAAAAAAAAAATGTCCAAGTTGGAGAAAAACTAATTTGTTATAAACATTTGAACTTTTTGTGGTGAAAAATTGTTTAAAAAAATTTTTTCACGAAAGTTTTGCAAAGAAGAAGGAAGGATGAAA